ATTGATTTCGACATGCAAACAGATTAACTTACTCCTCACTTATTGATTTCGACATGCAAACAGATTAACTTACTCCTCACTTATTGATTTCGACATGCAAACGGATTAACTTACTCCTCACTTATTGATTTCGATATGCAAATGGATTAACTTAGTCCTCACCTATTAATTTCGATATGCAAACGGATTAACTTGGTCCCCGTGAACAGCAAAATTTACATACAGCTGTATCTTTTTTTCATAATTCATGGATTTCAAATCTGAAAAAAGATTCTGAATAGTAGAGTCAAATAATTTATTTTTACCAATCGACACCTTCTGGGATATAACATTTAAAAATTTGGCGCGACGCCTATAGGGGTCGTTTTTTTTGTGACCGGTGGTCTTAATATTATTTGAGTACTAAGACATAGTTTTGACGTTTTAGTTTTACAAATCTTCTAGCATACTCGTACAAAATGCTCTCAGAAAATGTTTTGCAACTTGTGTCAGCCATATTGTGACAAGGAGGATGTTTTGTCACGTGATTTGGCATTCTCCCTTGATTAGTTGAAGGTAAAAACCTATTACTAATTGTCAGAAACAAGAAAGCTTTCAATATACATTGGATTAATATTCTACCGGAAAAAGGTTTCCAAACTTTAGTTTGGGCAACAAGTCCAGTGTATGATGAGCTAAAACCCAGCTAATATATTGTATAGCCTCCTAGTGGCTGAGCGGTAAATCTGGAGACTTATAACGCCAAAGATCCGGCCTTCGATATATGTGGTGGGGCACAGCACAGCACAGATAATCATTAAGTAGCTTTGTGCTTTAACTACAAACAAACTTAAAAACACACCATATAATTTACTCAAAATTTCATTGTTTCCTCGGCTTAATTATAAACTGAAATCTCTAACTGTTTCCAACAATAACATGTTTTATTTGATCTCGTATAGTTTTTTCTTCTTCGCAAACTTGTTATCAAATAGTTCGTTGTTATTCTGAAACATCTTCCTTCGTGTGCCAAGGAAGGAAGGAAGGAGGGAGGGTTACAACGCCCCATGAAGATAATCCAAGCATGAAGGGAAGAGGTCTAAGAGTATGTTTTGAGGGTCACTGTACCCGAATCTTTCTTCGAATTTTCTTTCTATGTCCTTCCCCTTACCCGGATCCGGTCTACACCAAGTTTGAAACTGTGTTTACACCCACACTTACGTGTTCAGATACCATGTTTGGCTGTCCGAACAGTTTTGTTTTTCGAGTACTGATCCTACTTTACGGTAAATATAAAAGTAATGGGGACAATGAAGTAGCTTCATTGGTACATTGGGGCCTCTATGAAGTGTGTGAGGGGGGGGGGGCGGCTTTGACGTCCGCTACGGCCGCGGATATTTTATGCTCGTTATGTGTAAAATATGTATGCATTTATTTATAGAAATAAAGAATAAATATCCTTTTGTGTTTTAAATGAGGTTTTTTAGTGTTATACAAAAATGCAGAGTATCTTCAAGAAGCTGTGATGCAAAGCTGATAAGCCTGAACGCTGTTTATTTCCGATTCTTGGAATTAAATACTTAAAGCGCCATCTATCATGTGTTTGAGTTAGGACTAAAGAATATGCTTAAAATAGTAGCTTTTCACTTCTAGTTTTGAAAGTAAAAATGCCAGTTTTATTCATATCTTTTCTTGCAGATTGGCCAAATATCAGACAGAAGGTCCAATTGAAGAGACCGAGCTTGAACAACCAGTAACAGCATGAAAATAGAACCATACGGTCTATGTTAACATGTTTTATTAATAGTTTATTATAATTATTTTAATCACTTTTTTTTTAAAGTAACAATAACCGATTGGAATGTTTTCCAGTTTTTTATTATTAGTTATTCAAAGTAAAAAACAAAGAATATAAAACAAAGAATATATTAAAAAAAAATAAGCCACGTTGTTAGTTTGCTGGATTGTGGATCCGAAGTTCTGTGGTTTACGCGCTGTTGACGAAAGAAAAGTTGTACCACGCACTATGTGTTATAAGAGTAACTGTTAAATCTCACTGGTGGATTAGAGTAGCCCGTGAGTTGGGTAGAGTTGATCACCTCTATAAAATGCTCAACAATAAATGTCAAACCAATCTGTTATTCACTTTACAACTCAATACCGAGATATTACTGTCTCACAAATTTTCACGATGTTCAGTAACTCTGGACACACACACACAGAAACTCGTAAGTAGTAGCAGTTATCGTGGGGGGTTAATTTTGGTTTAATTTTTCGTATAATTTACTGGATATTAAATTTCAAGGAAACAACCAGGAATGATAAGTTCATCTCTATCGTGGTTGAAGACTAATATTACATGGTAATGGTGTTTCTGATGCATATGTCTAAAACTTGCTACACTTGAGACGGTGAAGCTGTAAGAAGATAAAAGCCGGAGAGTCCTGTCGATGCCAAGTTGTCTTGTCTTCCTGTCCTGAGGATCAGGTGGTATAATCCGATTTAGTTGGAGCCACTGTGACTGAAGCATCCAGCTACATTCCTATATCTATATCCATGATTTTACTATCGTTATTAGTAACTTTATAATAATAATAATTGTTTTGAGATATTGAGTTTTTTTTTCTCGTTTAGCTCACATTTTAAGGTTTTACTAGCAGTGACGTGAGTGGTGTTCCCGAATGTAATTTGGACATTTTGCTTTTTAAGGAATCTTAGCCTTGAAAATGATTAAAGCTTGTTTCAATGAGTACGTACATTATCAAAATTAATACGTTGCAACGTTTCCACAAGATAGAAAAAAAATATCGTAACAAGTTTTAGAAGTGTTTCGTTTGTTTATTTTCTACATCTAAAAAAAAAACAAAAAACTCTCCAGTGTCAAATATACTATCGTACCAAAAGTCATGTGGCACGGGTAGTTATGAATAAAACACGTCTTTATTCCAAGAAATTATTAGCGTGTTGGCTTTAATAACTGTTTCAGTTCATTTTGGAAGAATGTCTTCTAATTTTTGGTAGAAAGCTGGTGGAACTGTGCACAATGCCTCCTTTAAAGCATGAGTAAGCTCCATTACTGAAGAGAGCCATCTTGGCCTTGCCCTAATTATGCATTCCACTTCATCCCAAAGATGTTATATTAGGATGATGTTCTGGCCACTGCAATGTTCTGATGTTATTCTCATCAAATCACTATCTCACAATCCTTGATTTGTGACATGGAGCGTTATCATGTTGGAAGGTGTAAAGGCTGGTACCATACAATTGCCATAATGTATGACACACACAATTGTTCAGAACATCAATGTAGGACTTAGAATTCATGGAACTATGCACTGCGACCAGTGGACCTAATCCATACCATAAGAAGCATCCCCAGACCATGATACAGCTGTCTCCAAACTTCACTGTTGGGACAACACACTCAGGTAATTAGCGTTCTCCAGGCATCCTCCATACCTAAACACGTCCATCAGAGCGGAAGAGCGTGCAGTGTGACTCGTCGCTCCACAGGACCGATTTCCATTGATCCACGGTCTAGGTTCAATGTGCCTTGCCCCATGCCAATCGATGGTGTGCATTTGTTTTTCTTATCAACGGCTTGTGGGCTGCAGCGATTTCACAAAAATTTATGGCATGCATCTCCAAACGCAGATTCTCTGGAGTCTGATGGTGATATGAGGTAACCAGCCTTCTCAAGGTGCGTGAGGTAACCAGCCTTCTCAAGGTGCGTCAGCTCCTGTCAGTCAGTATTTTACGCCTTCCTGTTCGTTTCTTGGACTCATTGTCACCTGTGGACTTCCATTTCTTCAGCTCCTTGTCAACTGTCGACCTGGGAATATTTAATTGATGCGCAATAGCACGTACAGACATTTCCCCCAAATAACATCCAACTATCCTTCCCCTCTGAAAGTGTTAGCTCTTTCCGAGTACTTATCGTTCGGCGTACAAGTTCGAAATGACTTCTGAGCGAACCGCTGATCACCTTTATAGGTCAAACTATTTGCATATTTCGTCATCACATCCATTTTTCCTGCAATCACAGGTGTGTCGCATGACTTTTGGAAGGAAAGCGTATGTACTGTTTCACAAGATGAATTGAATTTCGACATTAAGCTTTATAATCTATGAAACTTATGGATTCAACACGAGAAGCTGCGTTTTGTTTTCATTACTTTTTTTTTATAGCAAATGTGGTTGTCAATTTGAAATTAATAAATATTATCATTTGAAATAAATACGAAGCATTTAAGACAAATGATGCTTTTCTATTTTCTTACATAGAAAATGTTTCACTAAACTTTGAGCTAGTTTCTCACTACAAAATAAATTAATACAGGGATTTAATTAATCATTTATAGAATAATGAAGTAGACCATTTAGTAAAAAAATGTATATGAAAATATATATACAGATTAGCATTGTTCTTTAGAACAGGAAGGAGACACAATGGGGATTTTGTTAACCATTTGCAGTAAATGAGATTTTTTTAAAGAAAACTTGAGCATGTTTTTCTAACCATGAGGGGGGAAAAGAAATACAAAAAGGGGCTTAAATGAATCTTTTATAAAATAACGAATGATTGATGGTGTAATATCAAGAAGGTGAAATACACTAAAACAAAATATTTATCCCTGTCATTTAATAATTAAAATCGGTATATATTTTTTTCTTACAGATAGTATTTTAAGATATTCATATACAACAACGATCACGAAGATTAAAGCCGGTAAACTTTCTGCAGCTAATTCATCTTTTACGCGATATGAGGGAATAAATATTTAAAGATAATTTTAGTGAAATCACTTAGTTGATTTGCATTATTTTCATACGTCATTTACTCGCATTTCTGTAGGAATTTGATGATTGTGCATAATTGATACTACGAACTTATTCTTGTGCAATACTCTTAACATACAAGTTGTTTAAAATATTAACTGTTATTGTTTGTTTGTTTTTGAATTTCGCGCAAAGCTACACGAGGGCTATCTGCGCTAGCCGTCCCTAATTTAGCAGTGTAAGACTAGAGGGAAGGCAGCTAGTTATCACCACCCACCGCCAACACTTGGGCTACTGTTTTACCAACGAATAGTGGAATTGGCCGTCACATTATAACGCCCCCACGGCTGAAAGAGCGAGCATGTTTAGTTTGATGGGGATTCGAACCCGCAGACTGCGAGTCGAGCGCCCTAACCACCTGGCCATGCCGGGCCCATTAACTGTTATTCTATTGAATCTTCTGATTCACCATTTGTTAGTTGTTACCGCGTTATATCATTTTCTTGGAATTTCACATATTGCCAGTAAATCTAGACAGAAAATATTCAAACTCATCGTAATTTGGTGTTATTTCATTCCAGTCGGGGGTGGGGTGGGGTGGCGGGCCATTAGTGGGTTATGCCCTTTCTTCGGCCAAGCGAAGAAAGAGAAAAAAAATAGGAAGAATAAAAGATTCAAGTTATAGGTAAAAGTTTGAGGAAAGTAAGAAGAGCACGAGCGAGAAAGAAAGGAACGAAGAGAAGGACGAAATGGGAAGTATTGTTAGTGAGAATGAAAGAAACATAGACTCTTGCATGGGATGAGTGGCCCGGCATGACCAGGTGGATTAGGCGCTCGACTCGCAATCTGAGGGTCGCGGGTTCGAATCCCCGTCCCACCAAACATACTCGCCCTTTCAGCCGTGGGGGCGTTATTATGTGACTGTCAGTCCCACTATTCGTTGGTAAAAGAGTAGTCCAAGAGTTGGCGGTGGGTGGTGATGACTAGCTGCCTTCCCTCTAGTCTTACACTACTAAATTATGGACGGCTAGCGCAGATAGCCCTCGTGTAGCTTTGCGCGAAATTCAAAAAACAAACAAACAAAAAAACAAGCATGGGAAGAATACATGTTTACTTAAGATGCCCTCTTTTGATACTCTAAGTTTAGCGACTTTTTCCGTTCTGTTAATTTTTTTCCAAATCTTTTCTTATCTAATTTCGTAGAAAACCTTATAAAATGCTGATTTGTTTTTCAGCTCGATATGCACAAATAACTGAAAGGAACAAATATAAATAAAAACCTGTTTGACGCCATTGAAAGACTCCACACAAGAAAATTTGAAATATCCGAGACAGTTTAGCATAAATATCTAAAACTTGGAATGCGAATATAATCACACTTGGACAAAGAAAAAAACCTAACTGTATTTATTTAAGTATACAAGTATTATAAAAGTAGAAGAATTATACATGAAAATCTATAACAAAGAACTTACTCTAACTTAATTATAATGTTACTTAAGTCTGCTTTTTTTTTAAATTTTGTGCAAAGCTGATCCAGGGCTCTGTGAGCTAACTATCTTTAATTTTGAAGTAATAACGTCGATTGTTTGTTTGTAATTAAGCACAGATCTACACAACTGGTTATCTGTGCTCTGCCCACCACGGGTATCGAAACCCGGATTCTAGCGTTGTAAGTCCGCAGACATGCCGCTGTGCCACTGGGGGGGGGGGGCTAAATATAGAAGGCAGCTAGTCCACAATACCAACAGCCAACTCTCTTTAATACTAAATAATATTATCTAATAGGTCGGTTATACCGCATCATTATGAATTTTAAGATATATATAAATGTATTATTTATTATATACAATGTTGAACTTGTTTTATAATACGAACCAAAACAATCCTAACGTATTTTTCGTTATGTCACAAATATTATATATATATGAAGATTGGAGTTCTCTAGGATATTTTTTATTTATTTCAATGTGTTGTTAGCTTCTCCTAAACACACCTGTTTGTTGAGAGTTTGTAATGTAAGCTTTAGACGTTATTACACTACCACAATAACTTCAGTATGCAAAGAA